GCAGCAAAAAGCACAAATCCATATTCAAGTAGACCTGAACTCTCTAACCTGCAGCCTATACTGCTGACTTAATTCATGCATGAAAAGAAAAGAGAAAGACTGTATTCCTCTCCATTATTCATTAGGAAATGGACCTTTAACAGACAAAATATTGTTTCTCATTTCTAGCCCATCCCAGTAGCACTCCTAATTAGTGGTTATCTGTGTGTGTGGGTGTCCTGGTCCTGACTGTTGTGGCTGAGATTACCGTGAAGTGAAACCAAACATTCAGTCATCCCTGGTCAGGTTGTGGTGCTAAGGATCAGACCCCGTCCCCAGAAAGTTCACAGCCTAGTGAGTGGTGACACAGCCATCTACCAATTCACCATGTGGTGATGTTTCACAGTGGAGCTCTAGTCAAGGTGCTGAGGCCAACTTCACCAGAGGAGGTCAGAATAGCCTTCCCAAAGGAGAAGACAGAAGCCTAGTTTTAAAGAACCAACACTAATTCAGCATAAATGCTCAGAACAGAGAGGCAGTCCAAAAAGAGCAAAAGCCTAGGATGCAAAGCAGAGAAAGAGAACACCAATGGACCCACTTCGTGCAGGAAAAGCTAGGGCCTCGGCTGTGAAATGAAAATGGAGTGGCTGGCTGAGGTCAGGTCTGCAGAGTGGACGTGCTACCTCAGGAGTCTGGCCGTCATCCTGTGCGAAAGGGCGAACTTGCAAAGGGTCGTGGGCTCTCACCGCACGTGAAACATGACAACACGCCCAAGAGGCGAGAAGGGCAGCCCAAGGGGCTGCTGCCAGCCTGCTGAGACAGGGAGGATCTGAGGCCAAGCTGCCTGGCGACTGCACAGTAGCCACAGACGTAAAAGAAAGCATCAGAACCAACAGGCTTAATAACCCATCAGGTGTGCGGTGGGGAAGGCAAGTGAGAGGCGAGAGAAGAAGGCTGGTGAGCGAGCTGCCACCCGCGCGCCTCAGATACAAAGCCTTAGATCTCAGAAGCCCTTCCCATTTCCAGAGCCTTGGTTTTACGGTCCTCCTCAGACCCCACAGATGGCATCTCACTGTCCAGTCCAGTCAGTCCCTGATCTGTTTCTGCATGGGAACTAGCAGTGCAGGACTATTTTGGTTGATGGAAGGCACCATAGGACATACACAGACTTTGGTCAAATGCTTTTGTTGTCATTTGTGGTGTGTGTGTGTGTGTGTGTGTGTGAGAGAGTGTATGTGTCTGTGTGTGTGTGTGTGTGTGTGTGTGTGTGTGTATGATCCTCTGCCTCCTTTACAAAAAGATAAAAATCTACTGGTCCTGGGTTGATCTCACCATTTGTCTGATTCTAAGTTTATTGCATAATAAAAGTGTTACTAATACCTGTCATGCCTAATTCACAGGCTGCTGAGATGGGCAAAAAAAAAAACCTGTGTGAAAGTGCTTTGTGAACTTTAAGCCCTATCGTAAATGTAGGGTGTTATTACTGATATTACGCCACTCGTTCATCTATAGCTTCACTAAGATTAAGAGATGAGCTGTCAGCAAGCAGCGAGAAAAAGAGGAGCCCTCAGATTAAACCTGAACACGAACTTAAAAGTACCCAATACACTAGGTGTCCACGCCTTCGGTTTTTTTAAGATGCTACGATGTGTTTTTGCATAACATTCTCCAATTCCCTGAAACAGCATGGCAGTGAACAGAGGATGCAATCTCTGTTACTCTGTAATACCCTTTCAAATATGCAGGTGCAATCCCGAACACCAGCATGGTGGAGCCTTTGACAGGCCCCCACTTTGTTCCCCAGGGAGGAATCCAGCCATTTCAGACCTATCCCCTCTCTTCTGCCCTCCACGCCCTGCTCCTAAAATCAGCTCTCTAGTATTTTTTGGACTGCTCATTCTCTAAAAGTAGAGGTGTATAAGAAAAAGGTTTTAGAGGGTTTTGCAATTAGAAAGAGGCTCAGTGTTGGTTTTAATTAGGTAACAATCTCTTCAAGATTTCAAACCTCAATGAATCATAAAAAAAGGAAAGCTTGCCTCATAGAGCAAACACCAAAATCACAAATTAAAGGAGGTAATTTGAGTTAATTTTTTTAAAAGCTCACCCTGAAGACTTAAGGCCAACAATTTTGCAGAAGTTTAGAAGTTCGGAAACGTTAGTAAACCAACAAAACTGATATATTCAGTCTGGCAATATTTCAGGAACGATGCCTTTGCATTAAAACATCTTTCCTTACAACTGTGGAAGGAAATGAAGCCTCCCAGAAGTGTTCACTTTAAACTGAAAGACTCAGTGGGATTTTCAGCCTGTTTATAAATGCTGGTGGAGGGAAGAAATATGAAAACCATTCAAATGGTGTGGAACATGTAACCTACGACACATAATACTAACCTTCCCATGTGAATCCATGTAAATCTGGCAGGGAACCAGTCTAAACCTCCACATACAATACCTATCTAGGCAGCCTTAAAATGTTTTGCTTTGTACCTATAAAAGCACTTACTAAGATATTTGTAGCTGAGGCAATTTCTGATCCCCAGAAACTATCTCTAGGACTCCAACTGGGGTCGTTACATGCAAAATTCAAGTGTGCAGTGGCCAGCAACTTGCTTTGGCAATGGTGGAAAGCAAACTCTATTTCATTTCTCCTCCCTCTTAAAGATGTTGTAAGATTTAAATTAGGCAGGACATATTAAACCATCAGCAGATGCCTGTCACAAAGGGGGCCTCCAACAAACGGCTCTTTCATGGTAGCTTGTAAAATTACCTCATCCTGACTACAGGGAACATAGTTGCCAAGGGCTTTTACCTCTGCCTGGAGAAAGGTGGGGAGGGAAGGCATTGGGAGCTTTTCTTTTTTCTCTTTATGATATAAACAGGATGCGCAGAGTTCAATGAAGACAATGGGACCTTAGCAATGATAAAATGGAAAGTCGTAAGAAAACTCTCCCTAGGGGAAGGGCCAGCAGACAAGGGGCCACTGAACACCACAGTTAGAATCCAGAGTGGGTCAGAGGAGAGGTACACATTCATTAGCTGAAAATATAACTGTAGCTCTCTTTGTTTTTAATATATAACTATCAAATTTCTCTANCACTTGTTATGCAGTGATAGGATCTCCAATTGCGATAGTTTGAATGAAGTGATATCATCTTCAATAAAATACAGTAGGCTTGTACTAAGGAAAATGCTGCCTATTCTTAGGAAAGAAAATGACTAGTTCGACACTATTATTTATGCAGCAAATACAGGGCCATGGGTGTGTTTATGCTTTCACAGCAACCTTAATCACATACAAAAGCTACACTGTGGCGAGCAAAAACAGTGAGCTGTTTCAGCAAAAAGCAATGTGGAAGGTTGTTTTAGCCATGCTTTATGGAGCACATCTACAAATGGAGGATTTCTGTATCACACTTAACAATTACATTGTCCACTTCAACCAAGATGGAGTATTCGGGTGGCCGGGGTTTCTTTCTCCCTTCCCTCCTCCGCTACAACTAATTATTTTAAATAGTTCATTACAATCACCTCTCAGTTGATCCCATAAAAGCATTTGGGACAGGGAGAGACATAGATAGAATAAATAAATAAACAGATAGAATGAATTAATACAGTCCACAGCCAATCTAAATGCCCCAATTTATCCAATCATTTCATCAAATTCCTTCAGAGCTTAAGTTCAGGTTTCATTTGTTTCGATGTTTAATTTTCACTGACCATTGTACAGACAGGACGCTACTCAGTGGGCGGCCAGAGAGGGGACCAAACATACAAAAAAGGGCATCAAGACACAAATTGTTCATAAACTGCATAAGCAGTTCCTGAATATTTGAGAGTTGATTGTAATTTACTCACTGAAATTAAAATACATATCATGCTCACAACATACATCACTTGATGCCAACAGAAAAAAAAGCAGGAACTTATTTTTCTAAGGACTCTTAACACAAGACTGAAAGAGCATTCCATTCCTGCATGCCATGCTTCTCCCACACCTTACCCAAGGAGGACAGCACCCGTTAATCTAGTGACCAAATTAAACCATGAAGCTTGCATCCTGTGGAATTGAATTTGTACTTCAAAATTCATTGGAAAAATAGATTCACTACAAGAAAGGACAGTTCTAAGACAAGAAATATCCAAAACATATTTAAAATGCAATCTGAGAATTGAGAAAACTGTCAGAATGATTATACTTCCATATTGCTTTGAATTTATAATGTTAGTTTTTTAAACTCTCAACTATTTTTCTTAATCAACTGACCCAACATCAGTCAACTAGTCTATATACGAAAGTTACTCAATGTTCAGTGTCAATCAGCATTTCTTGAGCAGTTCCCATGTGCACAGATTGTCACCGGCTACTTTATTTACTACACACAAAAATGTCTAAGTACTGATGTTATTCAAACATTATATAATTTTTATTTTCCCTACTCTACAAAGTAGCAGAAAATAATTTAGCAACTACTAAGATTCACATGGTACAATATGCATGTATTCCATAACTTATTTTACATATCTGTCATCAATGAGCAGGTGCCAATCGTTGGCTCATCACACTGTATAAATCTATTGAGATGTGTAATGTATAGACTGTTAACAGCTTACCATAGAGCCAGTAAATGAAATACTGTCCTGATTCATTGTGTTACTCTATTAAATTCAAAGGGGCAGACAACATTTTCTAAGCACAGTTCTTTTCCCTGAGAGCCATGCCCCCTCCTGATTAGGTGGGAGGCAAATGCTGCCTCTCTCTTAAAAGGCTCACCCAGTGTTAAGGTTACATCAGTTCTTTCACACGAATGCCACCCAAATGACTTTAATCTGAACTATACCTTTTCATGAATCCTAAACACAAGTGTACTACAAAAACTTTGAATCTATTAAAGATATTAACACAATGTGTTGAAGATTACAAACTGTATTTCCTTTCTTTGTACTTTCTGGATTCTCTCATTTATTAAGAATCATTGTCTTTGTGAATACACTGTTTCTCTCTTAATTCCGTATTTACATACATTGTCACCCTCACTTCTCAGCTTCCAGAAGGGATGAATATAAAACCAAGACCCCTCATTTCCTGCAGCGTCCAGGGACACACGCATGGCATTCTTCTCCAGTAAAGCGGGTAATCTCTTGTTGACAGTCAGATACTTGTTGCTTTTTATATGCAGGAGCTGCAAGGAAAAGACATGGATTACTGCCTCTACTCCTGGATCCCCTCTGTTAATAACATATATATGCTTATACATATACCATGTGCCGACATAACACGGACTGGGTAGAGATTAAACAAAGGAGATATTTTCAGACAACATGCCCACCACCTTTCCAAGGTGGCTTTCTCTGGGTTTCTGCTTACCTCCATCCCCAATTATGCTTCATAATGAAGTGGGCACATGAGTAATCAAAAATTTGGTGAAGAGAAATGATTTATGGAGGACTGCCCAAAGGACATGCAGCCCGCCCTTGACACACGTATCAATCACACAGTCTATCATTAGATTAAGTCATCCATTTGGGGAGTTGCTGACCCAGGACTTCTCATCTTGTCCCAGTAGAGTAAAGCTTTGACTGTCCTGAGCTCTGCCATGTTGCCACTGTCCAGTAACAAAATAGCATGGATATTATTTTTTAAAACAGCTCTGTGAAACACCTCATGGTAGTATTTACTGTAAGGAAGCTGTCAAAGCTGTTGTTCACTGTATTCAACAGTGTCCTCTTCATGAGAGCTTGCTGAGAAATACTCCTTTGGTCCTCTTCCTGGAGATGTTGGTACTTCTAGGCCTCTGACTTAGTTCTACGCTGTGGACCTCCTGTGCGTCTGATGGACTAGATTACGCTTCCCTGACAGCTAAGTGAGCAAACAAAGAGGCTTCAAGCCAAAATTTACCAGACTTTACAACATGGTTTTATAAACACGCCTTACCCCTGACTTCACCTTACTCGTTCAACTATTATTTTCCCTTTAACCCACTCACCTTATTTATTTCTGTTTTACCTTGTTATGTGGTATGTATTTTTGCAAATGCCTTACATTCTTTTTGGGAAAAATATTAAAACAAATAACAAGTAAAAAGCTAAAAGATCTAAGCGAAGCACAGGAAAGGAATGCGACTGAGATAAATCAGCGTGCGTCCTAATTGAAATACAAGACCTTCTCATAACAACTCGAGGATGATTTCCATCTAAAAGTACAATTTGAGAACTCTCCTCTCTCTACAAAATGAAAAGATAAAACTTCCTATGTTACACGTTAGTCCCATTAACTCTAAAAGGACTATTTTATCACAGATGCTTAGAAATTCTGTTTCCCATTTTCTTCTTTTGATGTAACAACCTGTGCTTGTGCGTACATCTAGGCTAGCTCACTTCATGCCTATACAACCAGACTTACTCCCAAACATTTAGAATAGGGTGCTGAATACCAACTGAAAATATCACAATATCTATAATTCCCACCAAAAAACAAGTTATTGTATCTCAAAATCTCAATGCAGTTTGGCATTCCTACCAAATGCAAATTACCCATCAAATATTCACCTCTTTTAAGAGAAAGGAAAGAGACTTACTTGTATAACATTACTGTATTTCACAATTTCTCCCAACAGTTTCTTATTCTCTGATTCATTTTGTTTTTGTTCCAGTTCTGCAGCATGCTATAAAATGATTGCCAAATATTTAGTGTGGAAACATAGAAACAGAGTACAATAATCTATCAGTCAACTCCTAACTTGATATAATAATTGAGAAACAAGTAATTCCTAACTTCAACAATAATTGAGGAAGAGATAAGTCCTTTAGGAACAAAGAATACAACCATGAAAAAAACAGGCTGGCTGCTTTATTCTTGGTGCTGATTTATTGGGGACGGGGGCATGGAGGGAGGCACTAAGTAAATAAACAATTATAATATAGTGTGATAATTTTCTCAATTTAATGCTGAAATGTGGCCAAAAGTAACTTGGGATATGTTTACGTTGGAAAGAGAAGTACTAGCGACTTTGGGCTTATATTATTATTTCAGAAGGAATACTGCTAGAGAACCCGAACAGGAGAGCAGGTGAATTTCAAAAGTCTCAAAATATAATTTTATTTCTGAAATTAACAGGAATTTTTAATATCAAAATTTAAGCTCGATCATATTTATACTCAGCACAAACCAGAAACAAGAGACTTTCCTTTGTTTCAACAGTGTTTCAGGAAAAAAATTAGGTACTATGCCAAGCAAAATATAACTGGATTTGGTATTAATACAAGGATTCTGAATCGGTTTCCACTTGGATGTGAATCTTTGAATTAACCTGACACACCCTAAAAAACAGCACCAGGAATGTAGTACCTATATGCCAGGAAATCAGTAGTCACACCCTACAACGTAAAAAGGTCTCTTTATTTTCAGTAAGTTGCTAGATGTATTCTAAATCTCTCTGTATCAAATGAAATCAGAGGGCTACAAAACAGACACTTTGTTATTGCTGTTCTTGGTCTAGCCTAAGGGGACAAATGGGAACCTGGATCTTACCTGTAATTTCTTGAGCAGGGCTGCCTCTGTGTGGTTCCCTTGTTTGGCTTGCTTAGCCTTCCAATACTGTTTCTGGGCAGAATATCGGTTCATGGGGCAGACCTTAAAGAGGCAGTCTACGACAGACCAACAAACACACACTGTAACTAAAGCAACCGGTGTCTCTGAGATGTTCCTTACAGCCTAGTATTGGAATCTTGGAATCCCTAAATATAAAGAACATGTAAAAATCATCTACCCCATCTATCAGTCAACTCCTAACTTCATCCAAAACATCCTTTTCAAACAATTAGACTGTTAGAGTACTTCCTTCATTAACTGGGGTTTTTTAAAGGAGACCATAGCTAGTGTAATCGATAAAGAAATCAAACCATGTAATCATAACATGGTAAGGCCGTTCTTAATTATAATGGGTGTGTGTTCCCGGTGTTAGAACGTGAATAGAATGAGGTTAATGACTTGTGTTGCTTGATCTAACTTTGAACAATTAATTAATTACTTAACTATGGCATATATCTTTGACAGCTTAGTGATATAAGCAGCAGAAACAATCGGTGACAACAATCATGTCTCAATCATGCTCTGCCCAAGTTTCCACATACCTGGAGACAAGGTGGTGTGAACTCAGAGACACAGTGTGTTATGTGGGATAGAAGAAGCAAAGCAAAAATCATAAAAAACTAAACTAAGATTACAGCCCAAATTCTACTACTAAATATCAAGACAGAAAATCACAGTGGAATGATATAGTTAGTAGTGTTTCTAAGTCAAAAGCCAAATATTTTTTTCCTTTCTATGAGGAAAATGGAAACTTAACTAAACAATTCTTCCATATGCTAATGTTTTGTTATTTGTGGAATGAATTATAATCTAGAAGGAACGTTCAACTCCTGATTTCTATGATAAAGGAATAGTGATACAGAAAATCCAAACATTATTTTTCTCACAAAAAATTGTGTGAGTTCAAAATGGCAGATTTATTTTGGTTGATATGTTAATATTTAGGGCCATTCCCATTTTTCAAATATGCATCACAAAAATAAAAAATCAGTCAACTCAAACATCCATTTTAGCCACATTTTTGACTATATATATGTACATTCTATTATTCTCTTTAAAATTAATTATAAGCTTAAATGATGGACTTGGTCTCTTTCAAATCTCACTCTCTTGTGGTTCTAATGGCATAAATGATCAAGAAATATTACTGCAAATATTTTTAAGAATTTTAAAATACAGAAGAAATAATGACTTTTTTCTATAACTTGTAATGATAAACACAAATTCTATTCATTGCCTCCACCTCATACACACATAGGCTATAGGAAGCTGATTATTAATTTCTGGTTTAAAAGTTACTGATGTAAATAAGTAAAAATTTTATAAATAGCAGAAAACAGACCCCTTCTAACTGCTAAAAGTAGGCTGAGAGATTCACAATTTCAGTCTGATACAAGTATCACCACTTGGCACATGTGTGTAAAAACCAAATAAGTACACCTGAACATTGTTCTCCTTTACAACGTATTTCATAAGCCTTAGAAATTATTTCCTACATATTAGCAATTACAAAGAGAATATACAAATTTTTTCAAGCACAAATATAGAGGCTATTCGCAGGTATCACCAAAAGAAATGATCCCAATTAATGCAGCAAACTATTTTGACTGTCTTATATTAAGCAAGTGACCAAATGCTACAGTTTTAGTGCAGCAAAAAGCACAAATCCATATTCAAGTAGACCTGAACTCTCTAACCTGCAGCCTATACTGCTGACTTAATTCATGCATGAAAAGAAAAGAGAAAGACTGTATTCCTCTCCATTATTCATTAGGAAATGGACCTTTAACAGACAAAATATTGTTTCTCATTTCTAGCCCATCCCAGTAGCACTCCTAATTAGTGGTTATCTGTGTGTGTGGGTATCCTGGTCCTGACTGTTGTGGCTGAGATTACCGTGAAGTGAAACCAAACATTCAGTCATCCCTGGTCAGGTTGTGGTGCTAAGGATCAGACCCCGTCCCCAGAAAGTTCACAGCCTAGTGAGTGGTGACACAGCCATCTACCAATTCACCATGTGGTGACGTTTCACAGTGGAGCTCTAGTCAAGGTGCTGAGGCCAACTTCACCAGAGGAGGTCAGAATAGCCTTCCCAAAGGAGAAGACAGAAGCCTAGTTTTAAAGAACCAACACTAATTCAGCATAAATGCTCAGAACAGAGAGGCAGTCCAAAAAGAGCAAAAGCCTAGGATGCAAAGCAGAGAAAGAGAACACCAATGGACCCACTTCGTGCAGGAAAAGCTAGGGCCTCGGCTGTGAAATGAAAATGGAGTGGCTGGCTGAGGTCAGGTCTGCAGAGTGGACGTGCTACCTCAGGAGTCTGGCCGTCATCCTGTGCGAAAGGGCGAACTCGCAAAGGGTCGTGGGCTCTCACCGCACGTGAAACATGACAACACGCCCAAGAGGCGAGAAGGGCAGCCCAAGGGGCTGCTGCCAGCCTGCTGAGACAGGGAGGATCTGAGGCCAAGCTGCCTGGCGACTGCACAGTAGCCACAGACGTAAAAGAAAGCATCAGAACCAACAGGCTTAATAACCCATCAGGTGTGCGGTGGGGAAGGCAAGTGAGAGGCGAGAGAAGAAGGCTGGTGAGCGAGCTGCCACCCGCGCGCCTCAGATACAAAGCCTTAGATCTCAGAAGCCCTTCCCATTTCCAGAGCCTTGGTTTTACGGTCCTCCTCAGACCCCACAGATGGCATCTCACTGTCCAGTCCAGTCAGTCCCTGATCTGTTTCTGCATGGGAACTAGCAGTGCAGGACTATTTTGGTTGATGGAAGGCACCATAGGACATACACAGACTTTGGTCAAATGCTTTTGTTGTCATTTGTGGTGTGTGTGTGTGTGTGTGTGTGTGAGAGAGTGTATGTGTCTGTGTGTGTGTGTGTGTGTGTGTGTGTGTGTGTATGATCCTCTGCCTCCTTTACAAAAAGATAAAAATCTACTGGTCCTGGGTTGATCTCACCATTTGTCTGATTCTAAGTTTATTGCATAATAAAAGTGTTACTAATACCTGTCATGCCTAATTCACAGGCTGCTGAGATGGGCAAAAAAAAAAACCTGTGTGAAAGTGCTTTGTGAACTTTAAGCCCTATCGTAAATGTAGGGTGTTATTACTGATATTACGCCACTCGTTCATCTATAGCTTCACTAAGATTAAGAGATGAGCTGTCAGCAAGCAGCGAGAAAAAGAGGAGCCCTCAGATTAAACCTGAACACGAACTTAAAAGTACCCAATACACTAGGTGTCCACGCCTTCGGTTTTTTTAAGATGCTACGATGTGTTTTTGCATAACATTCTCCAATTCCCTGAAACAGCATGGCAGTGAACAGAGGATGCAATCTCTGTTACTCTGTAATACCCTTTCAAATATGCAGGTGCAATCCCGAACACCAGCATGGTGGAGCCTTTGACAGGCCCCCACTTTGTCCCCCAGGGAGGAATCCAGCCATTTCAGACCTATCCCCTCTCTTCTGCCCTCCACGCCCTGCTCCTAAAATCAGCTCTCTAGTATTTTTTGGACTGCTCATTCTCTAAAAGTAGAGGTGTATAAGAAAAAGGTTTTAGAGGGTTTTGCAATTAGAAAGAGGCTCAGTGTTGGTTTTAATTAGGTAACAATCTCTTCAAGATTTCAAACCTCAATGAATCATAAAAAAAGGAAAGCTTGCCTCATAGAGCAAACACCAAAATCACAAATTAAAGGAGGTAATTTGAGTTAATTTTTTTAAAAGCTTACCCTGAAGACTTAAGGCCAACAATTTTGCAGAAGTTTAGAAGTTCGGAAATGTTAGTAAACCAACAAAACTGATATATTCAGTCTGGCAATATTTCAGGAACGATGCCTTTGCATTAAAACATCTTTCCTTACAACTGTGGAAGGAAATGAAGCCTCCCAGAAGTGTTCACTTTAAACTGAAAGACTCAGTGGGATTTTCAGCCTGTTTATAAATGCTGGTGGAGGGAAGAAATATGAAAACCATTCAAATGGTGTGGAACATGTAACCTACGACACATAATACTAACCTTCCCATGTGAATCCATGTAAATCTGGCAGGGAACCAGTCTAAACCTCCACATACAATACCTATCTAGGCAGCCTTAAAATGTTTTGCTTTGTACCTATAAAAGCACTTACTAAGATATTTGTAGCTGAGGCAATTTCTGATCCCCAGAAACTATCTCTAGGACTCCAACTGGGGTCGTTACATGCAAAATTCAAGTGTGCAGTGGCCAGCAACTTGCTTTGGCAATGGTGGAAAGCAAACTCTATTTCATTTCTCCTCCCTCTTAAAGATGTTGTAAGATTTAAATTAGGCAGGACATATTAAACCATCAGCAGATGCCTGTCACAAAGGGGGCCTCCAACAAACGGCTCTTTCATGGTAGCTTGTAAAATTACCTCATCCTGACTACAGGGAACATAGTTGCCAAGGGCTTTTACCTCTGCCTGGAGAAAGGTGGGGAGGGAAGGCATTGGGAGCTTTTCTTTTTTCTCTTTATGATATAAACAGGATGCGCAGAGTTCAATGAAGACAATGGGACCTTAGCAATGATAAAATGGAAAGTCGTAAGAAAACTCTCCCTAGGGGAGGGGCCAGCAGACAAGGGGCCACTGAACACCACAGTTAGAATCCAGAGTGGGTCAGAGGAGAGGTACACATTCATTAGCTGAAAATATAACTGTAGCTCTCTTTGTTTTTAATATATAACTATCAAATTTCTCTAAGAAACTCAGCCTAAAATACAGTGTTTGTTTAAAACTCTTTATGTCGGGTGTGTTTTGCTTTAAGCTCAGAAATTTCAAACCAAACACCTACTTCTCTTGTTCAAAACCTAAGGCAAGTGTAGAGAAGGTACCTAAGAGGTAAAGGCCCTCTAGAATGTTACAAAGGCCAAAGACTATTTTGCTGCAGGTGTTGGCCAATATTAAAATTTATCACAACACATGGATGGGCAACCATGAAAACTGCAAGATAACTTTCTCTAGGCAAAAGTCAACTATCTTACCACTGAAGAGGGAGAGAGATGGCCTTTTGTAACTATAGACTTAAGACTATGAA